AAGGCCATTTTGGCCTTGTTAACCGTGTTAGCTACATGGCTGTTCCACCTTAGGGTTTGATCTAAGGTTATCCCAAGATATTTAACTTCTGCGGAAAAACTCACAATCCTGCCACCAAGGATCGGTTCCACTAGTTTATCTAGTTTCCGCTTCCTAGTGAAGGGTACTATGGTTGTCTTTTCCGCGTTAATAGATAATTCGTTATCGTGACACCACGCGGAAATGGTGTCAAGAGCTCCTTGCATAAGTGCTGATATGGTGCTTTGGCAGCGCCCTCGAACTGTGATCACTAGGTCATCCGCATATCCTTGAGCGTCAATACTCAGTTCAGCCAACCTATACAGGAGCTGATCCACAAAATGGGTCCACGGGAGAGGAGAAATTACCCCACCTTGCGGGCAGCCCCTTACCGTGGAAGCCACAAGCCGGTCCCCGTGTAACGAGATACTGGCCCTGCGGCTTAAAAGCATGTTTTGCACCCATCGCGTAGTAAAAGAGTCTACACCTTTGCAGGTTAATCCCTTCACCAAAGTACGAATGGGTGTATTGTCAAAAGCACCCAGTGCTATTTGTTTGTCCTCAAACGCTCTCAACTCTGTCCACAAGATGGAGCAGCGCTGTCTCTGAGGATTTCCCACTTTAATAGGCGTGTTGAGTGTGATGGATAGGACTACGTATTAGGGACAAAGTCCTAATGTGATTATCAAGTACCTTCTCCATTGCTTTTAGCATAAATGATAAAGCAGGTGGGTCTAAAGAACTTTGCTAGAGAGTAGTCCTTTCTCCCTACCTTCGGTATGAATACAACTTTACTTGTTGTCCATTGTATCAGTATGTGAACCCAAGCGAGACTGGCTCTGTATATCTTAACAAGGTATGGCAAGCGTACACTTATGCTGCAGTACAATGGGAGTAATACTGTCCTCACCTGGGGATTTAAACGAGCTTATAGCCCAAGCCACTCGTCGAGGTCTTATTATGTTAGCAGCTCTCTTCCAATCCTCGTTGCGAGGTGTATGTAGAGCGGTCATTGCTGGGCTAGTGGGTAAGTCATACAAGAACCCCGGAAAATGGGCAGACATAATACGTAACTAACACATAATACCTAAGCATTATTAATTTGTGTAAAAACAAAATCCCGCATTTTTTTTCCATACTACAAATGTAATAACAGAACAAAACGTTATCATAATATATATATTATGATCTTCATTTAACATTTCAAAACACGCTACTAAAAAGCACGTCATTACAACTGTCAAATGTGTGTCAAATCAAATGTCAAATTGCGTGTGACGGAATGACGTACTCCTGAAATATTTCTGTTTTCATCACAAAGTCGCATAATTCGAGTAAAGAATCGTTTCAAATTAGCTTAAATGCACCTGAATAAACTATTTTCGACACAATCTCGTTGCTATAGAATTTTTAATTCGATCGATGTGTGCAAAAACACTTATTAAACATGTCGAAAATAAAGAAATTGACTGGCTCATTTCGCTATACTCAGTGGGATCCTTTTCTAATAATTTCGCAAATAGTGGCAATGCAGTCAGTGCTGTATCTTAGCTTGTGTCTCCTCGTAGCTATAATGCAGGATTTGACTGGGTCTACGAGGACTTTGGATCACATTTTTGCCTATCATGTAAGTGCTAGTCAAAGTTGTATTATTTAAGAACTGTGGCATCTGAATCGTTTCAAAAATGTTATATCGTTAAGAACAACATTTTTGATGGACCTTTCGTACTATTTCCACTATCAACGGCACCGATATCTCTACAAAACAGAGAATGATGTTTATTTTGTTCCCAGGAGTTACATGTCAGAGACAATGAAGGCAGATCGGTGATAACTGCATTTGTAATAAATGCGGTTGTAGGAGCCTTGCTGTTATGGACCATTGTTGGACGGACAAAACTTTGCTTAGATTTCAGGTAAACACTAAAAATGCCATTGATATATTAAATTTAAAACAACCTTAATATATTTAGCATATTACAATGTTTGAGAGATTTGTTTTGCAATACGATTTGGTAGTAAATTTATTCTGTATGTTCCAGCTGCACATATCACGGTCTGCACCTTATAGCATGCTGGATTTACAACGGCACATTCCCAACTACATTCTCGTGGTGGATGCTGAATATTGCGTGCGCTGCAATCACCTGCGTCTCCGGGGAGTTTCTGTGTCTACGTACTGAATTACAAGTGAGTTTTACACTTTTCAAGTCTTATGATTATTATGGGTACTAGATTTCTTATCACACTATGACTATTTATTTTTATATTGATGATCTTCTAGAATATCCTATCTCAATTAAAAGTAATATTATAAATGGAGAAGTAATTCCGTCTGTCTGTTACGTTTTCAAACCAAAACTGTTGAACGAATTTTGTTGAATTTTGGTATTTGAAATAGATGGGACCTAGGAGAAGGACACAGCTACTTTTAGTCACAAAATTAAAAGGGATGAAAGTTTGTATGGTGAACCAATAAACTCTCGAAGAACTCAAAAGACTAGAAGAACTTATTCTACATAGGTGTAGTCGCGGGCATCAGCTAGTAACATATAATTCAACATTCAAGATTGTTTAAAAAAAACTTAAGCATAGCCTTAACAACATTAGTACTGTGTAATAAACGCATCCCTTCAAGCTTTATAAGCAGAAAAGAATTAGCAATTGTATCGTATATATGTTTATTGTATGGGGTCACCTGAAATTATTCTTGCCTGTAGGTTATTGACACTTGGAATGCTAGATGAGAATGTCTGAAATTCAATTCTGATAGGACTAATTAAATAATGTACTGTTCTAAATAAGTGACACGCCAGTCCGTAACAGTTGTTGCAGTGCCATTCAAGGTTTGAATCGCAAAGATTTGAGGGGCACTGCCTCTGCACCTGTCACCCTGGGACATAACGCTCATTTGGTGCTGCATTGATGTAATTGTAATTTTGGCAAAATGGAATTAAGTATGTTAAACATCTGCAACATCATAAGTGTCTATTATCCATCCATCCATCAACCCATTTCTACGTCCCAATGCTGGGCACGCTACTAGTGTTTATGTTTCAAGAAAAAATCAACAGTAATTTTAACTTTATATAAATATATTATAAAAACACATTTACTGACACGTCATAAATTTGAAATAAATTAAAAAATCTATTCAAATCCATTTCCTGTAACATTACAAGAAATACAATTGCATCAGTGTAGCACTAAATGAGCGATAAGTTGATAAGTCCCATGTGCGCACTCACACTACTGCTTGGCGGCAGAAATATGATAATGATATGATGATTGTTTAAAAATAGCTTTTAAAAATAGCCTCATTCGCTCGGAAAGGCTTTCTTTCTCAGTAGAAATCTGCGCGCGAACTGTGGTGCACCTAACTTTTTCTTTAGATGTAAAAAGAAACATAATGAAATGTATAATTACGCGATTTATCGTACATTATTTATGTAATATAAATCAGTTGATACATTTTATTTTTATTTTTGTTGACATTATGACATTAAATTGACAACAATAACTAATTTTGTTTATTAAAACTGATTTGTTATAGTTCAATTGTTTTTCTTTCATGTACCATTTTCCTCGCTATGGTGATTTGAAACACTCGCTGCGCTCAGGATTGTATTTTTGAACAATAGAATCGTAAATAGAATCTTAGGTTCCTTCATTTGTTCAGGTTTCAATACAAGCACTTTAGTCAAACAACAACTTTGCAGTCATGCATAACAAATAACTATTCCATTCCAGGCCATACCTCTAAGCACCATAGGCGCCAAGGTGGACTTATGAGTGTTACTGTCCAGGAGCTGCATCCAGGTGATCTCTGAAGCTTATATGAGACTGTAGGATATATTCATAGTTTCCACTTTTTTAACACTAGTTGTTGAGGCGGAGAACAGAGCGGCGTCTTTGAGACTAAAGGCCCCTGTTTCGTTGAACCAAGAAGTTAATTATAGTGTGAATATAGAAAAGTCCAGATGCTATACACGAACAGCGAAAGAAAATTGATATTCAGTCTTTTCTGGGTAGTGTTTCCTCAGGCCATACTCAAAAGTTTTGTAGATTATTTGTAGAAGCTGGTTTAAACGGCAACCCTGTAAAAGTATGACAGACATAGTTAGTGCAAAGGATGTTCTGAATAGCAACACTGTTAAAATCCACCTAAACTTCAAGTAATATACATGAATGGTTTATACCTCCATCTGAAATCCCGATATTATTACAAATGAAAGAAATAAAATACTTGTATTTTTACTTTATAATTACATTTTTTTAAATACACTTCCCTACTAAAGTTATTGCTGGTGACTATTCAAAAGTATAGATTAAGGTTGTCTGGAAGAAATTGCTACTTAGCAATAAGGCCGCCTGTTGTACATTGGCTTACTCTGTGATACTTTCATTACTGTTCTGTGTCATTGTAATTTTAATGTGTAATAAAGAATATTTCTTTCGTTCATTCATTCAAGTATAAAAGAAAATACAATTTCAGAGATAAGTATTGTTTACTTTTTGTGTATTACATACTTTGAAATTTAGGCACGTATATTCTGCTAATTACAATATCTGCATATGGATTAATTGCTAAATACTAATCTCACAGAACTATACTACCAACATCGTAAACCACAACTTTTGTTACATGACTTTTTACAACACATAATGAATTTACCAAAAATATTTTTTTAAGTTTTTATTGTACTATCTGACACTTTAAAAAGTGATATATATGATGATAGTGATATAAGTGAATAATAAAGATCTGTGTTTTTATTTCACATTCACAGAACCGCACTAGGGCAACCCTGTATGCCGTAGACTCGCATAGACATCCACAATTACATCCAAACTCACGTGAGAAATAAATGTAAGCCATACAAATATTTCTAACTGTCTCCGTGGCCGAACGGTTACCATCAGAACTGCCACGCAGAGGTCCCGGGTTTCTATTCTCGGGCCGGGAGAAGTATTTGTGTGGCCTACATTTATTTTCTCGTGAGTTTGGGTGTAATTTGTGGTTGTCTATGTGTGTGACCATGACAGCCGTGATACAGGGTTTCCCTAGTGCGAGGCTATGAGTGTGTGCGTTATTATTTATTATTATTCTCCCGGCCCGGGAACCGAACGCTCCTCCGCTCCTGCATTTTGCATCGCACTGGTATTTACTTTTTGTTACCGCACAGAGTTATCACCGTTTAGGGCAATCTATTTAAATATTTTTATTTTTGTACGAAACTAAAATGCGATAAATAAATAAAAGTCATGAAACAAGAGTTGTTGTTTATAATAGTAGTATTTTACAAATTACACATTAAGACAATGTAAAAGAGTTTAGAATAAAAATTTACTATGTTTTTAGCGAGCAAAGCTCTGTAACCTTGTTACATGCGTATAGTTAATAAAATCAATTATTAATTGTTAATTACATAAATTTGTTTTCAAAAAATTTAAAATTCATTTTTTTATGCTGAAATAGCTTTTTGCTTTACTATAAAAAAAAATAATTTAATCGATGGTTTCTTTTGTACTGTGAATTATTTAATTTTAATAATAAATTGTAAATATTATTAAACATTTTCTTTATATAAATTATGTAAAAATAATGTAAATAAATTGTCTACATTACGTTTTTTGTGTTTCATTTATATATTGCTTTTTGGAGGAGGTCCACAATTCGACTGTTTTTTTTATATGTATGTTACGCGATAACTCGGCCTTTGTGAACCGATTTTGATGAATCTTTTTTATTGCAAAGAGGATGTGGTTCCATTTAAATTTGAAGAAAATATTCCACCTCTAAGGGTGGTAAACTAGGGGATGAATCCAGTTTCGGACACTTTCCAGTAACCGATTTCAATAAAACAAGGCAAATAGATGTAATTCCATGAACTTTGCGTTTTTTTTTTACTACTCTGTACTGAGATGATCTTATAATGTGTTACGCCAGTAATGTAGTCCTACCCAAGGTAGCGATACTCGGACATGACTTATAAATAAATGTTATTAATAGATTAGGACACAACAATCTATGGTTTCCAGCGGCCTGGACCTTTGGAGGCCTTTCACCATTTTAGAATCTTGATGACTAGCGCCAACTTTTGTAATGAGTTGACATGGTAGTTACGTATATTTTTTTATAGTATGAAGTTTAAAAGAATTTCTGTTAACAATGTCAAGTAAAAACATTGATTTTTTTAGACAGGACGAACAAATCGTACGCCTGATGGTAAGTTACACGCCTGTCCATATATATAAATGGGACAGTTTAGTACCACTTATACTATTAATGGTATAATTCAATGGTGTAACTGGTCCGAAGGCATTGGTTTTTAATCTGAAACGTTAGCAATTTGGGCTTTCTTTGGTTACCGTCTGGCACTGAGCGTATATTCAAGAATTGCTACCCATATTCTGATATCAGGTTGGCTGGTCGCCACTTTGTTAAATTTTCAATCGAATGCGTATTCCTTAGCGTATGCCTTTAATTCGTGAAAGTAGCAAATAGGTAACAATTATTGGTAATACATACTTCTGGAAAATCTACTCCATGCTGAACAAAGTGGCGACCAACCATCCTGATCAGAATGGCTGGTCAATTATTTTTTAAATTTCTCAGAATATATCAAAGGTAGCAATTATTTAGAAAAGGTAGCACATAGTACCAAATAGGTAGCAATTCTTGAACATACACTTAGTGTCAGATTCCACAGGTGACCAGGCCTCCTGACGGTCACTTTCTTTAGCATTGTGTTAATTTGCTGGGCTATTTGGGTTATCGTACATAAATCAGAATGGTAAAATTGCGTAATACCTAAAAATAGTGTACGGGACGTTTTTAAATATCAATAGATTGCTCGTTTCACAAAAAAATGACGATTTTTAAAATATTTTTTTTTCATTTTTGTTACAAACTGTACAACTATGGTTCCGGCTTATCGTTGAGTTTTGGTTAACCCTGTATGTACACACATGGATATCACGTGACGAGTTTATCATTTGATACATGCAAAAATTTTAAATGGCTTCAAATTTTGTGCAATTGATTTTGTAAGTGTATTTGGAATGCCTCCAAACAAGTCATTCTACAGTCACGGTTACAGTACGAGCTTTTTATTGGCGCAGCATAATTCGTTGAGCGTGTGACGTGAAACAGCGATCGGCGCCGTGGAGTGCGGTACATTACTTATAATTGTCCACAAAACTAGATCTCCAACTCTTGGAGTTATTAAAACAATACGGCACATATATCGAGTATATAACCAGAAATAGAGACGAAATGTCATTTAATTAGTTTAAAAAGTATTCTGCCATATAATTACCGTGACAACTGCGCTCCGATTGGCCAGCCCAAATTCGTAACAACGGACGAGTGTCGTCAATTGTTTCACTTCAATTCGACCAGTTAACTTGAGCTTTGCTATGATGGACGAAAATAAAAAAATTACGTATTTAATTACCTGTGAAATTTGATTCAGTTTGTTTTGTAATTAGATGTTTTGCTGTTTTTCCCTACACCACCGAATGGAACAGCACGCCATTGTTACAGATATTATCTTTATTACAATAAATACAGAATATTTTTGGAATATACGAAGACGTACACACAAGTCAGTTGTTGGCGCTGCACTATTTTAGCTTTCTAATTTGTAATTTCAGTGCAAACGAGAGTTGATATTTATAAGTGATGTATCACTGATGAGTTAGTTACCAGGAATGTATGGCCCTTATTTCGTCTCTATTTCTGGTTATATATTCGATGGGCACATAATCATTTACAAGTACATTTTTAAGTATGATGTATATAATCATATAATTTATATGAATGTATATAAAATACTAATTCAAATTAAAGAGAAATAATTTTATGAAATAATTTTTCGGCCTCGGTGTAGTCCTATTTTTCGAGATACGACAAGATCGCTTTCCAGCGTCGATATGAAGCTTACCAATATTTGACACAAAAATGAAACAACTTCAATTTCATAGTGACTAATTAAATTTATTAAAAAACAGAACAGTAACAAATATAAGCAACAAAATCGTTGAAATATATCACAAAGTCTCACAATACAAATAGCATAAGATTCATTGAAATAATTGTTTGTTTTGTGACCAGTTTACAGTGAATATTCATACTTGGGCACCGACAGATGTATCTGTTGCGTGAACACAAAATGCCGTTAGATACGATTAAAATTACAAGTGATCTATTCGGTCACAATCGTTATTTTTTTTGTGCGTCTCATCATTGTTCCACCTCGGTGAAGTATACTGCCGGCTATTCTTTTATTTTGTATAAGATTAGCGCCATCGACCCCTATTATCAAGCGTTAATTTTTATATAATTTTACCTCGTGATCAATATTTGAATGTATTTCATATTAAAGTGGAATAAGTTTAGCATCAGTAGAGCTCCTTGTGAAAGAGTTCGTCCAGGGTAGTACTGCCATCTGGCCTATTTCTGCCGCCAAGCAGTAATGTCAGCATCACTGTGGTCCGGTTTTGAAATGTAAGGGTGCTGGTGAAATTACAGGCACATGGGACTTGTCAACTTACGTCTGAGGGTGACAGTGCCCCTCAGATCTTTGCAATTTAAAGCTCTGAGTGTAGCTTACCACCATGCGCATGACTTGTTCGTCCCGTTACATGTTATGTTATAAAAAAAAGGTTGATATCCAGTACCATTTACATAATATAAATTACTGCTTTCACGCTATCGATCAGCGCCATCTAGGGTAACCTATCATAAACTCGCATTTTTTTCCGAAATAACGTTTGTTCGAATTTTCATTGCACCAAATTATAACGTAACTGTCGTTCTTTCAGGATATGTTGAATGTTCATCGCAAAGACACGATTAGGTTCGGTTACATTAGGTTAAGTTAGGTTTAAAAGACAACTGAGTGGGTACACCGGTCCCACGGGCCACTGTTGTACCACCTTGTGCAGATCCTGACCGGGCACGGCTGCTTCGGTCACTACCTGCGCAGGGTGGCGAGGAGGGAGGCGTCCCCGTCGTGCCACGAGTGCGGCGCCGTGGACGACACCGCGCAGCACACCCTCGAGGTGTGTCGCCGGTGGATCGAGCAGCGCCGCGCTCTAGTGGCGACAATAGGGAGGGACCTCTCGCTGCCCAGTGTGGTCGCGGCCATGCTGCGGGACGAGAGGTCCTGGGATGCGGTGGCCTCCTTTTGCGTGGAAGTGATGACACAAAAGGAGGCGGCGGAGCGGGAGCGTGAGGACGCGCCTGACGCACCCCCGCTCCGGCGCAGACGGGCAGGGAGGAGGCGGCGGCAATTTGCCGCTCAACTCCTTCCCCACTGAGGCCAGCGGACAGGGACTAGGGCCCCCTGTTCGCATTGCACGGCCTCAATCGTCTGGGGAGAGGGGCGGAGAAAACCGATCCTCTCCTCCATAGGCGCGGGAGCCCCATAGTGGCATAGTGGCCGGGGCGGCCGGGCGGCGTCGTGGTGAAATAGAGATGATCCCACGGCGCCGGCACAAACCCGGCGAGAGGCAAACCGATGGGGTTTAGTGGGTACACCCCTGGGTCCATGCTAGACCCAGGAGCAGGGCCCTTTTCAGGGCGCCGGGACTCCCACATAACCTCCGAGCCGCCCGGGCTCGGGGGTATACATAAAGGATTCCCCACCGTTACCAAAAAAAAAAAAAAAAAAGAAGTTTAAAAGACAAACATTTTCCTCTCAAACAAATTACTTTCGAGGTTATGAAAATTCGAACAAACGTTATTTCTGGAAAATGTCATTTTGGACTACGATAGGTAACTCCATCTAGATATAAGACAGGCTTTTGACCTTTTTTG